GTGTGCAAAACCACGCCCAGTCTCAGTTGTCAGTATGTCCAGGGGGTGGGGCAGGCACGGAACACTGGGGATGAACCCCAGTCCCTGTGTCTGCCTAAGCAGGCGCTTTAATCCACTGAGCTATCTGGCCAGCCCTAGCCTTAGACTTCCAGTGATTCTCCTGCCTCAACCTCCCCAGTGCTGGGATTACAGCCATGTGCCACCACAACTCGGGTTCCAGGGCTGGCACAACATGCAGTACCAGGGATTGAACCCAGGTCCCTGTGCTTGCCAGGTAGGAACTTAGACTGCTGAGCTATCTCCCCAGCCACCCATGGCTATATTCTTTTTTTTCTTTTTATTTTTAAATGACTGGATTCTTGATTGTATTACATTTCCAGACAATTAAATCATAAAGCATCTGCATACAGTGTATCACTGAGCCTAGAATCTTTTTTGTCCTTAAGCCGTTTTGTTTTGTTGTGTTTTCTGTTTTTCAAGAAACACTAATTAATAATCTTGTGTCCCTCACCTCCCTCTCTCCATGGCGCCCCTCAGTGACTCTTTAATGCTTACGGGTTTCTTTGGCATCCATTCTCTATTCTTCAGTAATACATTGTATAGACAGCTCCTGAATTTCCAGGTTTATGTACTGGATGTGGGCTCACCACTGTGGTAGACAGGCTGCGAGTGACCTTTCGATCTGACCCATGTGTCTGGCTTCCATAGCTCTTTTCTAATCCTCCTCCTGTCTCTGATCATTCCTATCCTTTGCTTTTAGGGCTGCCCTTTGTTCTGCTTGCCTCTAAAAGTTAATGTTTCCATAGTCCTTAAGCCCACTGCGTTTGAACTGCGCTGCTTTCCTTGGTAATCTTCTCCATGGGTGTTTGAGTAGAGCTTGATACCAAACACAGAGGAATGTGACCAGGCCAAGCACTAAGAAGAAGTGCAGCGGCGATAGGTAATTTGGGAGAGGGTACCTCAAGGGCATGGTGGGACGGTGCTGATGGAGAGGGAGAGCGTTCAGTTCCTGAGCCAGGGACGCAGGGTGATCGAGAGTCTGGGGTTTGTTCATGGGCCTGGGCGTGGCTTTAAAAGGTGTTTTCTTTCTTCTGCAAACACTCTGTTCTTCAGGAATGGTAACTGGATGATCCTGGGAACTGTGACATTCTTTCAGACAGCATCCCCATCCTGCACAAATTTCCTGGCCTC